GGAGGGAAGAAGAGCAGCAACTCGCCGGAAGAGCCGAGCTTTTGAGAGAATTTCATCTGGCCCTCACTGCTGATGCAACTTCTCTGGAGTGTCTGTAACTGCATGAAAAAGATGGAAATAAAGAATATCTGTATCTGGTGTAGATGCAGAGATGAAGCTGCATGCAAATCAGCTTTGTGCTACCAAAACACAAACACACACTGAAACATGCAACTATATATTAAATATCCCTTATTTATGGACGCTAGCTGGCGATGTATGTGATTTAAAGACACTGGGATGACGAGAGAGGATTTTGTCTTGATCGAGTGAGAGATTCTCAGCACGGAGACAAGCCTGGGTAGTTCACCCAGTCGCATCTCTTTTCCCCCATCTCCTTCTCTCGTCTTCTCCCTCCTTTTCTCCCTCATCTCTCCATTTTTCGCTGTTGTGTCCCCTCTCTCCTCTGGCGTCTTATCTTCCTACCTTTCTCTCCACCTTTTACCCCCCCCCCTCTTCCTTCCCGAATCTTCTCCACTCTCACTCCTCTGTGTCAGTGTGAGGCTCAAACAAGCTGCAAGACTGTTTCAGTCAGCATAAAACTGAAAACTGCGCATTTTTTATCATAAAACTCAGCTGAAATTTTTAAGACGGAGTAATAAAGGGGTCAGCACGCTTTGAACAAATAAACAAGCAAGTACTTTTTAAAATTCTTGTGTCACTGTTTGTGTACACAAATGAATGAAACACAGTGAGAAAGTTATTTCCATTTGTACAGTTCATTTTATACTTGTTCCAGGAGGTTGGACAACATGTTAGTCCATATAGGTCAAGAAAGTAAAAGACATGTCTGTGTGCATTTGTGTGTGTCTGTGATTGCGTGTAGATGTCAACAAATGGTTGTCATATGAATGTTAAAGTTTAATTAATCAGATAACAGTGGACTCTAAAGTAGAGGGAAGATAACAACAGATAATTGGTTAAAACAAGGCCCAGTGTGACACTGTCTACTATCATTATTGTCATGGTGCACATACACAAACACAGACACGTGCAGGCTTCTTATGACCTGACATGACCAGTCGCAGTAAAACTTTAATCACAAATTGTGCTCAAAACTGCACCAACATTTCTCCTCCATTTGCATTTTTAATTAAAGCAGTTGTAGTTAAGTAAGCTTACTAAAGGTTTAATGTAATGTAACACACCACTTCCACACATTCACCAAAAACAATCCCGGGCACTAAGCATACAACGCCACGTGATTGATGTGCCTGCACACACACAATGGCACACAAAGACAAACCCTATACTTGGGCACTTTTCATATGTTGACATTTACAGGAGTTGCAGCTGAACTTTGTGAACCGTCACCGTGGCATCAGTTTACCTCGGGGCTAGCCCAGAGCCGGTGGGTGGTGGTGAGGCTCTGTGTTGTTGCTAGAGCGCATGTGAACATCACCTTTCAGCAGCACTGGCCCCAGTCCCCATCCTTAATGTGTCTATCCAATCTGGGATATGAATGAATACCCTGCATGCCTCTGACATCATGGAGTTTCCACTGCTGCGCTCGTCTCACCTCAGAGATAGCAACTTTGATATTTCACACCGCTGGCTCACTTGCAGGGGTTCCCCACCCACCACCCCTCCTGACCATAGATGGGTGGTTTATGTGGAGGGAGGTCATCTGATAGCCAAAAGGTCAAATCTCCAACAGTTGATGTCGAGTAAAGAGCTTGACTGTAAACAAATTCAATTACTTTAAAGGAAACTTAAATCTCAGCTGACATTTTTGGTGTGGCAGTGGGCTCCTTATTAGGATTTTGAGCAAAGCATTAATGTAGATGCAGATATTCTGATAGAGCAGCACTTCCTAGACTGCAAAACAAGACTTTGCAAACATTTATTTAATCATTAAAGTGCAGTTTTGAGTTGGCATCGACCAATGCACACATTCCTGTAAAACTACCCTATGTGCTTGTACTATAAATGAGGTGAGCACCCATGTGGACAGCCAACTTGATGATTTAGTGCTGCAATAGTAAGTGCTGAATGGGATTACTCCTTGTGGAAAATCCCAGAGATATCAATAGGTGTCGATTACACTTTTAAAACTCTGTTTGGTCTTGTAGGAGTTCTGCTATTTGCAATATCCTCACTTCTATTTTCAGCTTTTTCTGACATGGGCTTTATGGATTGAATGATGAACTACATTGACCCTTTTAACTACTTAATTTAGGAAAATACTTACTCCTGTTGTGTGGCCTTTCCTTGTAAGCCGGCCATGTACGTTATTCCAGCTGCAGCTGTGAGAGTCACATGTCGAGCTTTTTCTTGATTATCAAAGTTTGTCAGCTCAGATATGCATCCTGATACCATTGTTGCAGCTCTTGAGAATACAGGAAGGAACCCACCTCCATGTTTGGCCAACATTCCTCTCTGTGCCAGCAGCTGGTTTACTTCTTCTTCTCTGCTTTTAAAAAAAAAAAAAAAAAAAAAGAAAACTTGTTTGTGCTGAATTTCCTGTAAAATGGACACAGAGAGGCAAACATGACTAACAAAACGCTTGAAATAACAAACAGTTTACACATGTCACAAGCGGATGACAGATGTTCACCACAGTTTGTTTTTTTGCCGATTTGTTATGAGGTTATATGGTATGATGCTTTTTAAGACCGGGACTCAAATTTTCCATCACACACACACAAACACGCATACACTCACACAGCCAGCAGAACGGGGTGATGTGACACCTCTAACTTTAGTCTCTCTGTCGCTCTGGATAATCCAGTTAGGATGTGCTCTCTGGCTATCAGGAGGTTTTGTCTTCCCTGCTTCCAGCTAGAGGAAAAACAGACTCCAGGCTTCAGACTGGCCTGGACTGGTATCTTGAATAAACAAACGTTTGTCACAACACACGTCATATGTCCACTCTGGGAACTCAGTGCACACAGACACACACGCACACAGACACACACACAAACACACACACACACACATACAAACTGTTACACATGCAGTACACTCTTTTTTGACAGTTTTGTGTGTTATTTGTGAACGTGTGTGTATGATACACACATACACCTTTATACCATAAAGGTCAGAGGTTGCAGGGAGGGGGGAAGGGGGGAGCACCAGCTGATGTCACAGACACAAAATGAGAGTAGTGTCCTTGGTGACAGCCTGGCAACTATAATTGTCGTGACAACCCCTAGGAATGAGCTGTCATGTGACACCTCTTCCTCAGAGCCGAGTGCATGGAAAAAGAAAACACACGCACACACATAGCTGTGTCAGCGGGGGGAACCCTTTGGAAACAATGTCTGGCATGCTTGGGGATTTGAGAGGGGAGCGCAGGAGTGATTTAACCTACTCCAGAGAGCACCAAATCTGGGCATAAAATGAGGCCACAGACCTTCATTTTCCCCATAAACCGAATGGTGGATGGGAAGTGATTGTCTTTGTATCCATAAACTATGATGCCACCATTTTCTACGTTGTTTCTGACCATTTCCGAGATGGAAAAAATCTCCAGTATTCCTGTAGGTTTTATCTAATCTGTCAAGTTGCCTCCTCCTCCATGCAAAGTGTTTTTTCCAAAGCTGTTGCTTGCTTTTGGCACACGTAAAGTAAGATTAAAGTTATCTAAAATAACCTGTTGAGCCCGTGTAATTCAACCTTGACACTTTCTCTCATATTCCAGCCATCCATAAAGAAAGCGTTCAACTATTTAAGTGTGACAAACAGCGCTGACATAATTCCTCCCTTGTTTTGAAGCCAGCCTCACGGGGAGAGCCATCAGGGGACGGCACAGCTCCAGCCCTCTGATGTCTGGAACACACACACACACCAACATTTGCATGCATAAGCAGCGAACACACTCGATCACTGGTGGAGTGTATTTGGCACAGGGTTCTCTTGCTGTACAATGTTTTAATGCATCTGTGGCTGGCGTTTCTTCTCTTCTTGTCACTTTAATTATGTTTTCGAGGTTCCAATCACATCTGCTACCTTTCAGTTGTCCACAAATGCCTGTTTTCTTTGTGAATAAATGTCTGCTATAAGTGTACAACATAAGGTTTCTACATGTACTGCACACACACACACACACACACACACACACACACACACAAATAGGTTACAAATGTGTTGTTTGGCGTGTGAGGCTGCTAACTGAATCAGTCTTGCACGCTTGCACACACACTCATACACACATGGAGCTTTTTGAGGCTGGTAATTAGTCGAAGCAGTAAGGTGATAACAAGCGCCAGCCACACGTTTGCAACAGAGGTGTCAATGCCAATGTGCTGCCGGAAGTCACAGCCCCACCTATCACACTCTCTTTCCCCCCTTTCCCAGGCGGATACCCTTAAACACAGATGTACATGCACACACAAAGACTTTAACAAGCAAGATAATAGGACCATTTCCAACACACTTCACCTTTTACTGAAACAGAATATGTGCATCTAGGTAGTGTATATGACTCCCCCATGTCCTCCTCCCTCCTGCTTCCTTCCACTTTTTCTCTTGCCTGTCTCTCCACCCACTCCTCCTCCTCCATCTACACGATCTATGAGTCATCTGATCCAAAAGGTGAGATGCTGCATTCAGTAGATTATTTTCATCTTGTCATCTTGTTACATGAGAGGCTATCTTAACTTTTCTTTCGTCCTCATTTTATCTCCCTCTTTGGCTTTCTTCCATCTGTCATCCGTGCTACAAGTTGAAACCTTATTGCTTATGACAGAATATTTTGCAGTCTGAGATCATGTCAGGATCTGCTGCACCCCCTGAATGCACTTCATATTAGCCTCGTATGGTCCTCTGGAGTGGGACGTTTTCATCTCTGCCTTCTCATCAATCGCAGGAGAGGTGGTCCCAGTCATAGCAGTCTTTGTTGTCCTGATAGGAACTCGCTTTTTAATCACATGTTCCTGCTGTATTTATCACACCATCGTTTACTCATACTGAAAAACACATCGTCTCAGGTCTCTCCTCTCTCCCTTCTATTCCTTCAGGTTGTGGAAACAGCAGTATGAGTGGCGACATGTACAGCGCCGGCTACCACTCCATCACCAACATAGACTACTCCTCAGTGTGCATCAGTACAATGAGCACCAGGTACAGTCACTGCCCAGGTATGACCTGGCATGAGATGGACGTGCGCCAGCTCTCATTCCCCGATGCGTCCTTCGATGTCATCCTAGAAAAGGCCACGCTGGATTCCATCATGGTAGAAGAGAAGACACCATGGGAGGTGTCCCCTCAGACTGCCGGTTTCATTCACAAGGCACTCGCAGAGGTATTGTTAAAAATCTGTGAATCCTAATAGGGTTGGATATTTGAGATCCTGAGTTTTATTGGAAATTCTTGCAAAATTTTCTATTCTGTAAAAACACGCGTGGCATGAATTTTATTTAACCAGCCCGAATATATTAAAACTACTGTAGGAAAAAACAAAAATACAAGATGATTGGCATTAGGTTTTTTCCAACACAAACACAGAATATACCTACCATACTGTATGTATATTCTGTGTTTGTGTTCGAAAAAATGAGTAATTTTAACCTTACCCATTAGTTACTAATGAGAAAAATGACATCTGCACTCTGATGAAATCCTAGAACAATTTTTTGTTATTCCTAAATTCATTAAAATAATTCAACAACACATATTGAACATATAGGTGTACACCATGTCTGTACAGTGCCTCTTTCTATAAACAATGAAGAAACATGGGAAATGGACTTGTATTTAAACAGCGCCTTTTTGGACTACCGAGCACTGTCACATTCACCCATCTACACACACATTCATAGACTGATAACAGAGGCTACCATGCAAGGTATTTAGGGTTCAGTATCTAGCTTCGACTGCACAGGGGGAGTCGGGAACCAGCAAACCTCTGATTACTAGACAACCCGCTCTACCACCTGAACCACAGTCGTGTCCGCCACAGCAGGGGAAAAAACTACCTTAACTAACCTTAAAAGGGCCTGTGAATATCTTAAACAGTCCCATTAGCCTGAACTCAGGCCCATTCAGATTCAGGTCTGTGATTTTGCTTTTCCATAGCCTGATTACCTTTAATACTACGGATAATATGATTTTCTTTTGGAATACTATTTTCTGGCGTGGCTGTGATAAACATAACAAAAAGCCTACTTAAAATATACTGTATACTGTGGATTGGTCCAATTTCACTGATCCGTCCTCTACAAGAGTCTTTACACGCCTACTGTATGATGCTTTGAATGCTCTGCCACACTCAGAGTTTATCTGTAAATGACTTCTCGCTGACAGTGAAATTGGTAATAGTGGCACTTTACATTTCCACTCCATCTCCGCAGCCCATCAGTTGACTTACATGACGTCGAGTGCCCTTCAGCTGCTGGCTGCACCATTAACCACCACTGTGTCACTGTGACAATGACAATGTTTTGGCCATTAGCCATGCTTGACCTTGACACACTAAGAAAAGAGAACATTGCTATCAACTGAAGTAGGTGACTCCCGAGCTCTGAATGGAGAAGAATTACTCATGATGTACTCACTGCTGAATTTGGAGCACTGCTAAATGAGTTTAGTTTGTAATTACAGGTATAGTTTAGGCTCAATACATAGACTGAATATATAATTAGAGTAAATGCTACAGTGGAAAAGGTCACATTGTGTGAATCACTTTAATGGATGCAGGTAGAGGGGTCTAAGTGCAACCGATGTTAATGCAAGTTTAAACTGAAAAAATACTGGCCTTTTTACCCGCTATTTGAAATTGATACGAATGAAAATATTGTGGTGCTTTTCAGTTGAATATTTTACTGAAAATGTTGCAGTATGCACATTGTTTATGCTGATGATTTAGATTTGGCATTGAGTAATGTAGTGAAGCTTAGTGCTAAAATCACCTGGCCTCTGATTATGTCGAAGACTGTGTTCAGTCTCGGTAAAATTGGCCACTGGCAGGCTGCTAAGCCCGGCTCCGTTGCCCAACCCTGGCCAAGCAGCTCATTCCTCATCCCCAATCAGTGATGAAAATGAGTTAGTTCCAGCTGTATAGTGCAATGTAATTTACAGTTTTTATTTTCATTACTTTATAAGAGGTTGTGTCTCATACTCCAACGTGGGAGGCCTTCCTAAAAAGCAACGCTTATATATCTGCAGACACTGTAAAACGCAACAGCCTGGAGCAAATGAAACGGTCAGACCAGCTTTCACCTGGCAAAAGTTACTTCCACCCCTTAAAGTGGCTGAATATTCAAGAGCCTGGCCATTCTGTGTTTGTAGTCAGTTGCAGCCTGAATTGCTAGTTCCTATTCTTTGAACTAACGTTTCTGAAAAAGCAACAGCCCAAATTGATATAGCTTTGTGCAGTCACTGGGTAAAATAGATGTCTTGTTAAAATAAAGGGATTCGCTTGATCCATTGCGTGCATTTCTTGTTTTATTCATTCCAACAGTCATCCCTGAAAGGAGAATAATGTTATCAGACTGAAGTATTTAAAGGATCTTTTGATCACGACCAATCAACTCAGGTTTTAATGCTACAAGCTTAACCGGGGACAAGCTCGACTCAAGAAGTAAACAAAGGCATATACTGTTCTGTATATGGGCCAAGTTTTTAAGGACAGCGTCTGACTATAGCAATAAATACTCAGAGAGACACACACACACACACACACACACACCAAAAAGTAGTCTGTGTCCTGGGTGTTTTCGTCAAGCAGACGAAAGCATTAAAGAAGGATCAGTGAGTGTGATTGGGGGACAGATGGGAGGATTTGACTTCCCTTCAAAAGAAGTGAAGTTGAACTCACGAAGCAGCCCTCTTTGAAAGCCATTACAGTAAGAGAGTTGAGTTCTTCTCACTCGTCATCACCTGCTTCCCTTCACACCATCTCTTCTTCTCACTTCTGCCTCTCTATCCGTTTTTCCCCTCATCTCCACTTTTGTTTCTCTCACCTGCTGTATGCTCAGGGCTGTGTGGATATGGTAATGTGTGATGTGTTGTCTTTCTGCTGCACTCGTTGTGCATCTTTATGTGTGCAAATACTGGTGTGTGTGTGTAATCACAGAGAAGTCGATAGTCCTCTGCGCTGGTATATTTTTGCTCTCTCACTGAGGCTTGTATGGGTACAGCAGTCACGATTCCACTTTATGTGCATGTATGTATGTGTGTGTTTTGCAGGAATGTGGGAGGTGGGTTCATAGCCTACTTTAATTTCTTACAAAAACATTCTCAAAAAACAGAAAAAAGGGGACAGATGGAGAGAGATAAGAAAGGCGAGAAGGAAAGATAGAGCTCTGGAGAAGCAAGAAAATGGCCTGAGTGGTGAAAAGGGAGGAGATCCCAGAGGAACCTTTTGCCAGATTCACACACAAGGAAGGAGGGATTGAAGAGAGAAAGAGAAAGCTAGGAAAGGGGGAAAGTGCATGACAGCACAGGAGAAAAAGAGGGGAAAAAAGAGAAGGCAGCGGGTGACAGAAACTGAGACTGACAGAAAGCTAATGAGCAGTGCGCCAGTGTGAGACCGATGGGAAGAAGGTAGCAAAGGGGGAAAAAGGTAGCAAAGGAGAAAGAAGGAGGGAGGGGAGGGAAAAGAGTGTGGTCCACTTTAATCTAAAATCTGCTTTTAAGGGTGTTTCCTAACAAAAGCAATCATGTATAAGTAAAAAAAACAACAACCTAAAACTAAAATCTATCGATGCATACATAACAAAGAATGCAAATACATGTTTCATTATGTGGCGATAACAGTACAAAGGCACAAACATGCACAGACCAAACTGATCGAATGCACCAGAACTCCTCACACAGTCATTGCTGGTCTCTATCAAGGACACAGATCATGGTACTATAGGTGGAACAACAAATACATCTTTATTTTTGCTGCTTACATGCACACACACACACACACACACACACACACACACACACACTAAATCTCACAGTAGAGGCCTTGGTGCACTGAGGTGTGAAATTTATTTCACAGCCTGACATGCTCTGTGAATCACTCTTACTGTTGCTATGGAGACTCTTTCGTTGGATATCATCTCAGACTAACACTTTTAATTGCTAACCTTTAGTCCTGTTTAAAGAGGTAAAGACTAGTCCTTGGGCTTGTCCAAAGAGGTATGAGCTAGTTTTTTTTAGTCATCTTAAAGAAATGTGCTTCAGTCCTGTTTAAGTAAGCAGTAAATATAAATCTGTGGTTTAACGTGATACTTTATTGATGTACGTAGAGATTTTCTCCGTTTTCCTTCCTTACTTGGTGGTCAAAGTGCAGAGTCAGCCAAAGAACAGCATCCCTGGAGCTGGCTGTTGTTTTGTAGTTTTCACTCAAGGGCAAAGACATAGCGATCGTTGACAATGCAAGGTCTAAAATATTAGCTAAATTTACAAGTCTGGTAATCCTGCATAGTGTCAGTATATTACTGGGAGAATTTGGATTACAGCTAAGTCATTGTCATATGTAACAGATGAAGGAAAAACTTTTTAATCTGAGAATTTAAAACTTTGGGAGGAAGAGAACTGTCTGTGTTTTGGTGTTTTGTGAGAGAGAGGCCTATTCACTTAATGTAAAAATATGGCACAAATAAAGTGTGTAAAGTTTTTGGGTTTTTGCATTACACAGAAATCCCCTAGAAGACCATTTTATTAGGCATAAAAGTACAATGAGAGCAGTTTAGAACTTTTAAATTCAAATTTAAAATATTCATTTCAACAGTTGAATATGAATATTTTTAAAGACGAGTTGACCTATAGCAGTAGACCTTTTTAAACTTTTGTATCCAACTCGCACTACTTTGTCAGTTTTTATTTTTGGTTGTTTGAATGGTGTATGAATTTTAATTGAGGTAAATCTAAAATGTTCCTATTTCTGTTTCTGATTAATTCCTTTTTGGAAGTAGTAGCAAGATTTTTTGACAATAGATAACAGAGCTAATTTATATTGTAGTAGAGACACAGAGATGTGGGAACAAGAGGAACGATTCAGATTATTGATCTCAAACCGGTGTAGTACCACAAACTGTATACCTATACCTACCTGGATGCATAATGCACATACTGCTCTCTCTGGCCTGCTGATCAGTTACAATCATAACAGAAACTCATCCTTCGACGGCTAATTCAAAGCTTTGGCAACCAAAGACAGGCTGTGTCAAAATTCTGCCTGACTGAGAAATTTAGGAGCAAAAGCCAACAATGTAACTGTTGCTACGACACATGTTGTCAAACCAATCAGAATACGACATAAAATGACCCAGAATTTGAAAAAGTCAAAGTCATGTTGCTCCCTAT